CCCCCGCAACACATTCTCTCTTCCCCCCATTCTCAGTCTTAATCTAGACGACACAAACAAACTTAAAACTCACTTATCCGATAGAAGCCGGCACACATGTCTGAGGCTACCCCTGAATGCCTTTCGGTCGTCTGTGTCCATCATAGCGTGGAACCGGCGACAAGTAGAGCTGGCTTCTTCTAGATGCTTCACCACCCGAAAGAAATCATTGTCCTGTGGGACCAACGGAATCAGATTTTCAACTCTAAAGCCATGTCTCTTTTTAGATTGATGATTTATCGTCACCTCTGAAGTTCCGTCTGCTCAGTACCCCGTTTTTAAAATTTTAGTAAGAGTTTTACGGCACTTGCAAGGTCATATAAGTGCCGAAGATTAGATGTATTACGAGAGAGTAACAAACACAAAAAAGAAGGAGAGATAAGGACTATAGATGTTTGATAGGAAAGAAGGAGCAAACCACACGAGAGCACCCCCCAACCACCCACTAACTTGGTACCAGAAACTTGATGTTAAAAATGTTGAATTTCACAACATCTCAAGCTTTTTCGAACGCAATTCTTTGAATATCTTGACAACGACTAAGAACAATCTTACGATTTTGACAGGGTAGAAAGAACATTAAGTTTCTGACCTCATGGTATTAGTAACGGCCCAAAAACGTCAGAGAACGTTGTAATTCCCAAGTAGCAATACATTAATGTATTATAGTCAGAACACAATGCACTGTCTATTTTTCTTTTGTATTCTAAAGCGCTCAGTATATGTAATTTTATCAGGGTTCAGCTCTATGTAATGATTATCATTATTATTATGTGTAGTCGTAGTTTTAGTATTTTTATCATTATTATCTTTAGTATTGCTATTGTAAATGTTTCACCCCTTCATCTACCCAATCTAGACCAATCTGACAAAATAGACTGATTTTATCCTGCATTTCAGGCCTAATACGGACCGATTTGAAAACAACATACTAAAGAACAGATGAGGATACTTGATTTAAACAAACTACACTTGTCCAATCGGGAATCGAACTAATTTCTTTTGGGTTCACAGCCAAAGAGCATATTAATATCCACTACACAATCTCTACCGGTCTGAAATCAAAATATGCAGTGCTCAGTCTGGCAAATACGAGTAATTTGAACTAAATTTTAATGGTATTCATGGAGCATGCTTTATTTCTCATGCAGAGTATATCTCTGTCTCTCTCCATTTCTTTCCCTCACTCTTTGTAGTACACACATATACATATACCCCCCCCCACACACATACAAACA